GTTGGTCTCCATAGGGACCCCAGCACCTTAAGCCTTGCAATTTAATTCACTGCACAGAAAGAAATTCACCTCTGAACAGAGAAGACAACTGTGTTGGTCAGGACAAGAGGCTTTAAGAAAATTGGCAAAAGAACCAGAGGGGAGAAGAAAATTCCTTTTCAGAAAGACATTCCGAAGTGGGATGTACGACCTAAAAAATTCAATGATAGCTTTTAAATGGGAGCTGGACACGTACCCGATGGAGCAATGGAAATGCAGGGATGCAGGAAAGAGTAAAGGTTTGAGCTTGATTGGTTAGCTCTTTTAAAGAGCCAGCACAGGGCTAATGGACTGAGTGGTTTCCTGACTGAAGATTGGCCCTTCTGGAAGGGAGTGGAATGTGCCCCAGCGGAGGAAAAGCCGTCGGAGAGCTAACTATGATATGTGTATCTGTGTGTACGTGGAGATGATCTAAAAACTATTCAGTCAGATGAATTTTTGTGCTTGGCCAGATTTTGATGAGTTACTTGGCTGACAGTCAACTCTGGGCGTCGTCAATCAAATAATCCATTTGAAATGAATAAGTTTGACAAAATTGCACACAGTATACTTTTGCAAATGTAATTTTTTTTAATGGTCAGCATTCCGTCAAGTTACTGGGGCTTCAGTTGGTTGGTATTAATAATTTAAATGTAGATTTGCTTCAACCATGCTGAGTAAGTTCTGAAGGGAAATAAAGGCTAAAATATTCATGCAATCAGACAAAGAATGTTGCCCTGTCATGCAGCAGTTTTGATCACATCTTGCATTGTTGATGTTCTTTTGTTACTGAGCCTCTTACGAGAGATTTTGTCACCAGATTTTTGAATATGTAAATTAAATCTTGTTGCAGGAATGTTTAAATTAAGGATGCCTGATTACATTAACGTTGATTGTTACAGTCCCACTCGTAAACATAGGATCCTCGCGAAGATTTGTAGCTCGGGTTGTGGATGAGGTTGTTGGCTTGCTTGCCAAGCTGGCTGGTTATCATACAGACTCTTCATCGTCAGTGCGGCCTCCTATGCAATGATGTTGTTCTACTCTGCTTGGTATTTATATGATCTGGTCTGTTACTTTGGGTTGCGTCATTTCCGGTTCTGTTCTGCATGGGTTTGTATATGGGGTCTAATTTCACATGTTTGTTAATTGCATTACGGGTTGAAAAGCAGGCCTCTAGGAATTCCTGTGTGTGTCTGTGGTTGGCTTGAGCTAGGATGATCATGTTTTCCCAGTTAAATTGATGGCCTCCATTGTCTGAGTGCACTGAGATGAGGGAAAGTTCATTTTGTCATTTTGCTGATAGTTGGTGTCCGTGTATCCTGATGGCTAGTTTCCTTTGGGTCTGGCCAATGTAATGTTTGTTGCAGCCATTGCAAGGTATTTTGTAAACTACGTTGGTCCTGTATGTCATGGGTATGGGGTCTTTGGTCCTTGTAAGTGTTTATCGTAGCGTGGCTGTGGGTTTGTGTGCTATCCCGATTCCTAGTGGTCCTAGGAGTCTCATTGTCAGTTCTGAAATGTTCTTCATACAGGGCAGTATGGCCAGTGTATTGGGGTGTACCGTGTCCTCTTGGCGTTGTCTATCTAGTAGGCACCTGCGGATGACTTTGTTGGGATAGCCGTTGTTAGCAAAGACCTTGTATAGGTGCTCTTCCTCCTTCCTACATAGTTCTGGTGAGTTGTGGCCTGTTTGAATAGTGTCCTTACACATCTTTGTTTGTGGGCATTGGGGTGATTGCGCTGGTAATTGAGGATTTGGTCAGTGTGGGTCGCCTTCCTGTATACTGTGGTTTGGAATTCCCTGTTGGTCATTCGTTCTACCCTGTTGCCTAGGAACGGAAGTTGATTGTTGTCTTCCTCTTCTCTCATAAATTTGATCCCGGTGAAATCATTGTTGATGAAATGGTGTGTTGCTTCTAACTGGGTGCGTTTAATGATGACAAACATGTCGTCCACGTATCGGATCCACAGTTTTGGCTGTGTGAGGGGGAGGGTAGTGCGTTCCAGTCTTTGCATGACTGCCTCTGCTTGAGACCTGAGGACTTATTGCCAAGGCAGTCATGCAAAGACTGGAACGCACTACGTATATGAAGAACATATCAGAACTGACAACGAGACTCCTAGGACCACTAGGCATCAGGATAGCACACAAACTCACAGCCACACTACGATAAACACTCACAAGGACCAAAGATGCCATACCCATGACACAGGACCAACGTAGTTTACAAAATACCTTGCAATGGCTGCAACAAACATTACACCAGCCAGACCCAAAGGAAACTAGCCATCAGGATACACAAATGCCAACTGGTAGCAAAACGACACAACAAACTTTCCCTCATCTCAGTGCACTCAGACAATAAAGGCCATCAATTTAACTGGGACAACGTGATCATCCTAGGTCAAGCCAACCACAGACATGCGCAGAAATTCATAGACGCATGGTTTTCAACCCGTAATGAAATTAACAAACATGTGCAATTAGACCCCATATACAAACCCATGCAGAACAGAGCCGGAAAAGAGACAACCCAACTTAACAGACCAGATCATATAAATACCAAGTGGAGTAGAACAACATCGCTTCATAGGAAGCTGCACTGATGATGTTACCTAGCACGGTGATGAAACGCCTGTATGATAACCAGCCGGCTCAGCAAGCAAGCCAACAACATATGATCACTGTTCCACTGCTAGGCATCTTGAGTCTGTAAGGCGACTGCATTTACATTTAACCAGTCCAAGCTGTAATGGTGTATCTGGGGGAGATTCTCAATTTTTTTTTGTAAGGAGATAATTAGTCTGATTGCAGGCATCCTCCCTATGGTCTGGTCCAAGGCATAATCCAGGTATCCACTTGATAAGGAGGTGTACATCTGCTGGAAATAAATATAAAATACTGGAAATGCTCAGCACATCTCTGGAGAAAGGAAAACAAAGATGCCTGCTGATGAAATGTCACAAGCCTGTAACATTAACCCTATTTCTGCCTCTGCCCAGCCTGCCAGATCTGTGGAGTATTTTAGCATTCTTTTTTAAATATCAGCATTCCCAGCATCTGCGCCACTTTTGCCTCGGTAACTCTGGTGGCTTAGAAATTCAAGTATAACAAATAACTTGCATTTATTTCACAAGTTCAACATAGGAAAATATTCCAAGGCACTTTCAAAGGAGCATTATTATCAAAATTTGATACTGGATAGAAGTTGCCGGCATTTGTGGGTTGCGTTTAATCAAGAGGCTTTACTTTAGGAACTCCTGATAAATGGGCAATGACATTTGTACATCAGTGTGCACTGGTTAAAGGGCACACCTGATTGTGTAGGCTAGATGAGTGTGGTAGAACTGTTACAGTGCAGAAGACCTAGTGTGCAAACTGTACACAGCAAGCTTTCACAAACAGCAGTTTGACAATGGCCAGATAGTCCCTTTTTTTTAGTGTGGCTGATTAAAGGATTAACATTTGCCAAGACGCAAAGAAGAACTTCCCTGTTCTTCATTGAAATAATGACTTTTAAATCCACACAGGCGTAAATCATAAACCTCTGTTAGTTTTCAACCTCTGTTAGTACCTCATCTGAAGCAAAAAGCATCTTTCACAGAATGGACACAGTGTGGAGCTGGAGGAACACAGCAGGCCAATCAGCATCAGAGGAGCAAGAAAGTTGATGTTTCGGGTCGGGACCCTTCTTCAGAAATGGGGGAGGGGGAAGGGAACTCAGAAATAAATAGAGAGAGGAGGGGTGGGACTGGGGAAAGTAGGTGGGATGGTGATAGGTGAGTGCAGGTAGAGAGTGGTGGCGATTTGTCAGTGAGGTGGGAGGAGCGGATAGGTGGGAGAGAAGGTTGTGTCAGGTCAAGGAGGCAGAGATGAGAGGGAGTGTTGGTCATGGGATGAGGCTGGGGTTGGGGAGAGTCTCCAGCTCCACACTGTGTTAACTCTGATTCCAGCATCTGCAGTTCTTACTATCTTTCACAGATTGGGCTCCTTCCTTACGCCATTAGAGTGTGAGTCTAGGGGTTTGGCTCAACACTCTCGTATGTAGTTAAAATCTACACCCTTCCCATTGAGAAGTGGGAGTGTTACCAATAGATGTGGTGGATCATGTCAGCAGTCCAAAATTTAGCTGGGACTAGTTTCCAGTGGAAATAACTAAAGATGTGAGCGAGAAAGTACATTGTATTGTTTTATTTTCAGGAACAGTTGATCAGTAGGTGGAGATCAAAGGCAGTGGGTAAGAAATGTCAGATCAGCCATGATCTGGTTGAATGGTGGAGCAGGCTGAAGGGGCCAGAGGCCTACACCTGTTCCTGTTTCTTGTGGTCTTATGAATGGATAGAGGGAAGGCAATGGTTTCCAATCCTGTACATTTCCCTAAGATTTGGAAAGGGAAAGGCCACTTTGCGACTTAAGAACTGACACCTGTCCATAAAGATGTCCAATAAATGCTGGCAGAGCCAGTGATGCCCTCATCCCATGAATGAATAAAAAGAGATACTTATCTGAAGTTGGAGGCTAAAATGATAAACTTTCCTTGGGATTTTACTATTTAACACATAACAAGGAGCAGAACACACTATTTAGTCCCTTGAACTTACTCCACCATTCAATTAATGTTCCCTGACTCTCCACCCTAACAAATAGCTTCCAATCTTAGAGTGGTAACCTCCATATGTCCAACAATGTCTAAATATATTTGTGGTTGAAAATTCTAGATTTTTGATGCACTTTGTCTGAAAAAGATTTCCCTCCCAAATGGTCCTGCCCTAATTTTAAGATTATATGCCCTTATTCTTGATTTCTCTCTCAAGAGAAATTAGCTTCTCTCATAACTAAACCTTTAACCAGATGCATGTTAAGCTGTCAATGTCAGGGATAGGAGAGACGAGGGGTTGGGAGGAGTTGAAAATGCTAAACTCGGTTCTACAGCCACTGATGGAGGTATGTTAAAAGCATTTGCATTTTGAAATTTCAGGACAAATCTTGGCTTCCTTGGAAAGGCTTAATCTAAGCAACAGAACTCTGGTTTACTTCACCTCAGACCAAGGGGCCCATGTTGAAGAGATTTCTGACAGTGGAGAGGTCCATGGAGGATGGAATGGTATCTACAAGGGTAAGTAGGCATCACCATAATGAGAACAAATCGATGTGATACAGTGCTAGCCACTGAGAATTGCAACAGACATGGCAGAATAAGGAGTACCAGAAGCAATGCTGTAGATACTTTCTGACCAACCTGTTCAGCATTACTGTCTCACACTTCTGGAGATGTGGTCCCCATGCTTCCTGGCTCAGCGATAAGGTCACTACCACTGCACCACAAGAACCCTAAGAACAATACTGTACAACTGGTTCAAATTCCTTTTCCAAATGTTATCCCTTCCCTCTGAAAGGAAGTGACACTTGTCAGCTGCTTTTATTACCTCACTAAATAGTCATCCTTTTTGCAGCTCACCACCACCTTCTTAAGGATTAGTAGAGAAGGCAATAAATGCTGGCCCAGTCAGTGATGCCCAAGTCCCATGAGTGAATAAAGTAACATCTGTATTAAGAGCGCTAGGAGGCCTGCTATTATTGCAGCAGTTTCTTCCTCCCACTGCCAGGGAAGCAATCCTCCCACTGGCTGCATATTACCTTCAGAAGGATACTAAGGAAGGCGTCCTTGAAATAGGGCATAGTGTTTATAGAATCGGCCGGCTTTCTTAGTCTTCGCTTGCATCAAGCTTCGACATTTTGTTTATTCGTTTGCGAGATGTGGGCATCGCTGACAAGGCCAGCATTTGTTGCCCATCTCCTGTTACCCTTGAGAAGTTGGTTGTGAGCTGCTCCAACTATGACTCATAGAATCCCTACAGTCCAGGAAGTAGGCCATTCGGCCAATCGAGTCAACACCGCCTCTCCAAAGAGCATCCCACCCAACCCACATCTGCTCTCCCCACCTCCCCACCCCACCTATCCCTGTAACCCTGCATTTCCCCATGGCTAACCCACCTAGCCTGCACATCCCTGGACACTATGGACAATTGTGCATGGCCAATCCACCTAACCTGCACATCTTTGCACTGTGGGAGCAAACCAGAGCACCCGGAGGAAATCCATTCAGACATGGGGAGAATGTGCAAACTCCACACAGACCGTCGCCCAAGGGTGGAATCAAACCCGGGTCCCTGGCAGTGCCATCCACTTGCCCCTTGTGACTCCCACTGCAACATAACTGAGACAAAATCAGGAAGTAAACTGGTGCTGAAATGGATTAGATGAGAGACTTCAGAAAGACATGTTGAACTTTCTTCCATCCATGCTTGAAATGCATACAAATAATATCAGGATCATTGCTTAAGTTTCCACATGTCAACATCTAAAGCTTTTAACTTTTTACTTAACTGAGTCTTCCCATGAAGGTGCTTATGAGCCTTCTTCCTAATCATTGCAACTTCTAACTACTTACTTAAATGGCGCATGTAAATTAACCACTGTACCTTTAGTGGATACTCACTCTAAAAGAACTTGGAGCATATTTGAAGTGATATGTTCTCTTTAAAGCGCTTTACATTGGAGTTTAATTTTAAGTAATTAATGATTGCCCAACGAAATAGAAATGGAACTTCTTTTATTTTTAAAACTCATTTAGTGTTGTATTATGGAAGAAATCTTTTTCAAACTTGCTTCATAATGAAATTCCAATTACTAACGACCAGATTCTCCATTAACACTGCAGTGTCTTCAATCTTGCGTTAATAGCCAGATTGCTGGAATTTCCTGACCTAACTGTACACTTAAGAGACTTTAGTCCTTATTTTGAAGTTAATTATTCTGGGAACATCATTGGGGATTTCATTCTGGACACCGAGAAATGCTGCCAGAAGTAGTGTGTCCCACCCTCTCTGATAATGGTGCAAAGCTTCATCCAGTTTCTCTTGCTGTTTCTTCTCTTGTTCTTCAGTTCCAATAAAGCTTGCATAATTTTCCTCCTGCCCACATCTTCATTGCATTGAAATCAAGACCTTGGAGACTTCAACTCCTTAGTCTGCTCCTTTAGGGTTTCAAAGCAGAGATTTAGCATCAAAATATTTGCCAGTTTCCTGGTTCACCACCCTTTTCTCTTAATGGTGCTTCTGTATTTACACCCCTCAATCCTTCACTTTTCAATTGAAAGATTAGTTGTCTTTAACTTCATGCTTTAATCAGCTTTCTCTCACCTTTCCTAACCAAGATGTAGAGGTGCTGGTGTTGGACTGGAGTGGACAAGGTCAGAAATCACACAACACCAGGTTATAACCCAGCAGGTTTATTTGAAAACACAAGCTTTCGGAGTCTCTGTCTCTCTTTCTCTCTCTCTCTCTCACACACACGCACACACGTGTGAATCTATGGGGTGAATTCATATTTGCAGATACGTTCTATTTTGTTCAAAAAGCACACAATTTATAGACAGTCAGTCAATGTGGAATTTTATAAATTCCTACTTTAGAAATAAAACCAGTCTGACTCCAAATCAAAACACAAACCGTTTCTAAACAAGGCCTCACACCTAACATGTATTGTCTGACCTACACTGATGAAACCTTTAGTTCTCTCAGGACAGCGACTTCAAAGGAATTTGGGGCTTTACATATACATATTAATCAATCAAAAACCTACTAACTGATTAAAGATTTAACAGCATCTTAAGTTTGTTTAGTACATCCTCATCCTCATCAAAGTGACCCTTTGATCTTTTACTTATAAATTCTGTGTCTGATACTACCTCTCTCACTAACACCTGAAGAAGGAGTGAGGCTCTGAAAACTTGTGTTTTCAAATAAAGCTGTTGGACTATAACCTGATGTTGTGTGATTTCTTACCTTTTCCAACCAAGATCATTTTCTTTATCACCACTCACTCATGAATGGTATTTGGAAGAGTATTATTTCAGACTGATGTCTAGAATATGTCTTCAGCTGTTGGAAGGAGGGAGATATGAGAGGAAATGTTTTTAATATTTTAATTATCAGCTTGCTTACATCATCAAAAATCTTAGATTGAGGAACCAGTAACTTTCACGTGTACCAGAACATAATGGCATCAGAAAGCCTAGGTCAATATGCACTGAGAATTTTCCCCTCTTGTCATCGCCTATTGCCCTCTCTCCAATCCCTTTTTTTTTTCCCCCTACTTTCCCTCCCTTCTCCCTTCCTCTTTTCCTTTCTTTCTTCCTCCTGTCTTCTCCGTCTCCCCACCTTCTTTTGAAACCTGTCACTAAATTTGGACAAAATCTTGCCCAGATCTTACACCCAAGCAAAGGGCTCTATTGAAACGACGGCACCTGTCCTGTTTTTAATGAGAATGTCAAAAATAGGAGTGTGCAGGCCATAGGGCTGAACAAACTTGTCCTTCACAATCATTAGAAACTTTCACACCAACTTCACTTTACTTACCTAGGGTCTATATTTTTGCTCCCGAATTGGGAGCACAATCAGGAAATTTCCTGACTCCATGAACCAGACTAGGGGAAAAGCTGCGTTTAGGGTTTTGTTGCAGAGTGCAATGTGCCAGCTGGAGTCAGGCCTGCTGTCTCTGGAAACAGTGCTGAGGTGTTGAGGCAGGCTGTTTAACAGGCACAACTCTATGTTCCAGGATTCCAGCCTGGTTATAATAAAAACAGCAAATCAAATCAATGTTCT